ACAAGCAGCGGACGAAATGCTGATGAGCTCCTTGCAAATTCCAGACGAATGGGAAATGCCAGGACGATTCACTAAACAGTGTTTTATGAATAACTCTGTTTCCTACAAAGGCATCACGAGGTAAGCCGACCACAATCACTAATTATCGGGAAGTTATATCATGTTACTATCTAAGAATGGTTCAATGGAGGCGAAAGGACAGCGAGTGCAAAGCAGGATTTCTTCGACATGAAGTCTGCGTGCAAGGCGTTGAGAATCTTCCCTCCATTGCTGGTTACCATCACATCCTTGTGAATAAGGTTGGCGAATTGGTTTATTGTACTAAATTTTTTGTCCAAGTCCAAATGTAGCTCAAGCATCAGCCTGTAAATATGTCCTCATATGGTTTCACAGAAGAGAAACTTCGCGATGAATTCTAGATCTTCATGGAATCGACTGAAGAGGTGTTCTAGGTGTAGGAATGTCCGCATTCAGTTCTGACATAGATAAGAAAGGCTCGCAAACTGTTCAAGCGCACTCAATAAGCATGCAGTAACATCGCCAAAAATCAACAATTTGTGACCAATTGCAGTCACACTTAATCATCGGTTCTCGGGTGATAAGAGTCAGTGGTTCCAAAGTGCAGTAGTAAAAGCGAAGTTTCAAGGAAGAGAACGTGTTTGAGTCTTATATATTATGGGTTATCAATCAACCAAACCTCTCTTGATTGCTCCCTCCCTCGCTCTCAACAGCTTCATCGGAGGCCTCTCCTGCTCGGCCTATTTTTCTTCATTTCATAGGTGGAGTTAGAAATTAGTGAAGCAGTATTGAGAAAAACTAGAGGAATGAGACATGACCTGTTACAATCTAAGGAGGCAACAGCTGTACAAACTAAGTTTTCCTCAGAGTAGGTTGTGGAAAACAATCCGAAATTTTGAGTGCTTTGACCAAGAGGTCACCAAGCTCATATTAACCCTATTTAATTAAGAAGTATTGCGTGAAATTGGAAAGACATAAGAAGTAAGATAAAGTCTTGGAGCATCAATCGATCCGCCCGCAGGGATGTGCACACGCATTCGACTTCTATTCAGAACCGCAGTTGCTATTGAATGCGTATCGGCTCATACAATGAGTTGCGGTGGCCAGCCAACGTACTAGTGAGCGTTTTTGTCCTCCTAGACGAGTCTGGTACCAATTAACCGACCCTGGAGGGATAGAAGTTTGGTAGGCCTACGCGGGTATCGATGCGTGTTCGGAAAGACATACTTGGGATAATTGATGATCAGCAGAGGCAACGGATCAAGAGGACCGGCTCTGAAGAACGAACTTGTGGACTGGGCGTGCGGTGACGGACACACCTTCGGTAGGATGGCAGTCGTCTAAGGTTGTACGCTGTTGACACCTAGAAATTCTTTCATCACTCACGCAATAGGGTAATCACCAATTCTACCGATACGATGAAAAATCAAAACTTCATCGATATAATTACAAGTCATGGTATTTTATACGAAATATGTTTCAGATGATGCCGTCTTTTGACTACGGGGCGATTGCATGTGTTTCGGAACTTTTGTTCAATCGAACATATCTTGGACAAAACGACCATCCACTTAATATGACTGTCTACGAAAACTTGCCTACAGTGCGTTTTTACTGAAAAAATTTGTGTGCTGCAAGTTCAGAAATATGCTTACTCATAATTGAGTACGAGTTCTACTCGATGTCAATTTGGATAACCAAGTATTTGAAGCAATCTATTTGTAAGTAAAGAGTTTTGACCTACCCCAAAATTCCAAATTTTCGCCGATCAAAATGATAGTGTTATAGTAAGAATGCTAGTTTCAAAGCTATTTGCTAGGAGCTTTAAGGTGAAGAAAACAAATTCTTTTTCAGGTACGATTTCACAATGGCTTCAACGACACCAATCTTCTATGTCAGGACTTACAACAACTACGAAAATAAAGTTCATAAAAACCAATGATTTAGTGACATTACGCTTTTCTACGGAACCTTGAGATTTTTCTTTTTTATCAACGAGGGAGGATAAGAAATGTGAGAAATGAGAAGGAGATGAGCCGGGAATTACGGATCATTGGAGGACAAACTACACCCCGTAATCTGTAACCTAACAATATGGCTATGAGGCGTAGGAAACCAATTAAAATGCTATTAAACCAACAATAGTGTCAATTGCTAAATTTCACTGCACAGGATGCTTGCATCGTCTTTACAAAGAACTTCCCTCTCATCCCTTTGTAGAATGCGAGAGAATGATAGTGAGAAATCGCTGCGTTTATTGTCATTGAATGTTTTCCGTTTAGGAGTTATTTTTCATCACATACAGCGCCCACCAAGCAGAAGCGGAGAAAACTGTGAGTATGAGCAAGAAGTACATAGGCCCAATGTTTTTATGCAACCCTATGAGGATGAAGTTGAGTCTCTTCGAAGAATGCAAGGCGTACTTCTACAGTGGTGGAATGGCAATCAGCACTCTATCACGAATGCACAGCCAGAGGCTGGACTCCCGGCTCGATGTCCGTCTAGGAAAATCAAACCTTCCATCCCTCAAGGTGAGGTAACTGATAAGAGACTAGTCTGGGAGGAAGGTTGCACTGGTATGTACACTAGCGAGCCAGAGCTTGATATTATACAGATTAAAATCGCACTCAAAACGCCACGACGATTCTGAAGGAAGTCAAAGGCAGAACGCATTTGGAAACGTTTCGATTGAAGCAAAAAGTCAGTTTTTAAGAGCTCTACTGTAATTGCGAATTATCATTTCAAAAAGTCATTCATGGATATGGGTACATCTGTTTAACATGGATGAAAGCCCTACTGGTGTTCTACAGTCTTTACGGGCAACCTATAAAACTACTCCTTACTATGCTGTCTTCCATGAGAGATCCAGTATATTCTCATTGTACTACCTGCAATTGTGGTCAAAAATGTATGTTCGTCAACTATAAATTCATTTCAAAGAGTTGTGCAAAAGATTTCGTAGTGACCCATGCCGTAAAATGGTGACTTTATAGGGTCCATAAAAGCAAAGCTACGATAACGAATCGGGAATACTTGGCTGTTGGTTGGCGGAACTGAACTTCTTTTTACCCTCCCAGCTAAACCTAATGTTCACTTTTTTCTATCCTTTGCTAGTCCCACTGTAATTCGGAAACTCCACTTACCGCATTTAGTTCTAGGATCATTCGTAATCTAGGAATGTTACCACTTCCAACTAAGTGGAACAACCTTTTGACATCGTTCAGACCCTTTATGTAAATTTTTTTTAGTGTCAGTAACATTTTCTGCTGGCACTGTGAGTATTAGTTTATGATATTCAAAGAAAAAAATGACATACCCCTCGAAAAATTATTCCTTCCTCTCTCAGTCTTGGACTGTTCTCTTTTTCTTTTATGAACTTTTCATATTTAGGCAGATTCCATGTCAGTAGTCGCGCGAAGGCACATATTCTTTGTGTACCCTTTTAAAGAGTACAATGGAATTGTTGGTCCTTCCTTGTTGGTAGGCGCTTCGATGGAGGAAAGAAGGGAAAACTGTTGAATTCTTGAAGATTTGAACTTATTAAGTCATGAGAGTTGCACAAGATCACAACGAGAAGTGATTGGACGAGATTTCGGTTATGTGCGATTGCCTTAAAAGGTGGCTATTGCAACCTGTTCCAAGAAATCGTTTTCCATCATTGCCCGCAGTGATGCAGCTTTCATAGGGCTGTTGAAACTCGGCCACTTTTTCATGTGTTATCAAAGAAGGCGGTTTTTAAGCCTTCATTGCATCCTATATGAGCCGCTTCTTGGCCGAACTGAGGACAGCGAGCTATCCTATTTAGACAAAGATTCGTCCCAGAAAACACTTCCGTCGTGGACTGTGCCTTCATTATGGGTGGAGTCCAATCAATCGGATTCACCTGCTGTGTCGGAAATGAACATTATTGCAATTCATTGTATCTTACCAGTTATTGGAACTGCAATTACTAAAACACAAATCACTTGCAGGAATGAAGTTGTACGAGCTATCCCTTATTACTGCCTTTTGCTCTGGAGTTTGGTCAGCTGGTGAAGACGATCTTGTGAATTTGCCAGGACTTCAATTCGTGACTAATTTTAATACCTACTCTGGCTATCTGAATGCGAACGACAATGGCACCTGGCAAATGCATTACATGTAAGCGACGGTTTTGATGTAATCGAGGCTAGAACACAATGCAGAAACAGTGAACGTCTACCTTCTTGTTTGTCTGTTTTCATTTCCAAAACTGTGAGCCCATTGGAGCTGTAGAAGATGCGATACCTCAGGGTCTCAGAGGTTAATGGCATAGTTCACGATAAAAATGGTTTTTGAAATTTCCCTAAAGGGTGAATTGGAGGTCTCCGCCTATACCACATTTTGCACTATTTGGTAGGAAAACGGCCTAGTTAGGGAGTTATAGAGGCTCAAGGTTTGGCCCGTGTGTATCCTCGGACGAGTTTCACCGGCATTATAAAGGCTGCACCGCTCACAAGGGAACCCATGTAGGAAGTTCAATAACTTCTCATGACCCATAACGACAGTGAAAGACGGTCCTGTACTGATACCCCTTCCATGTTATTTCCGTCATGGCAATCTCGTCCAACCTCCATTTC